CACTTAAAATCCATTGACTTTAAATGTAATATTGAATAACACACTAAAATGATAAAATAGCAATTATAATATATGTAGTTAAAATTATAATCAAGTACTTTACATGTGCTTCAGAGTACATTTACTTGACAACAATTGCATTTTTTTGCATACAAATGACAGCACTGTCAAAACGATCCCTGTTCACATGGATTCGCAAAAAATGACGATAAACACTGTATTATTCATGCCAGGCCAGTAGATGGCGCACACATATGCATAACTGTAGACTGAACACGTAATACACATTCGCATGACGTCACCGTTTTTACAAATGTGCATTTTTTCATAGTTTTCAAGGAGACAATAACAACATTGTTTTCAAAAACTTGCACTTCGAAACCCGTTTTCGAAATTCATGTTTCTCAGTCTTCCAAGAACACTGCTGCCGTGTAAATGAACGGCCCAAATGCCAAAAGTTCTCCTTTTTCAATTGACAACTATGTAGCGCACACTCTCTAGAAAAACGGTGAAGCTCAATTATCCTGACCTAAGGGTTGCCATGTGAAAAAGAAGTGCACTTTAGCATACTTTTAAAACTGGCACTTATTACAGAAGTATTATCAATTAAAGGATTATACTTAAATGCAAACTTAACGTAATGATTTGGACACTTAAATACATTTTAAGTGCAATTAAATCAAAATGTAGTATAGTGTAAAAGGATATGAGAGTGTTGAAATATGGTTAAAGTGCACTGCTGAATGTACTGACAAGCATTTATGATCAACTAAAATATACTTTAATGTCATTTCAATCGAAAACTGTATGTCATGTATTTAAATATATTTGTAATTACACATTTAAAATGAAGTTGCAATTTAGTACATTTAAAATATATTAAAATTAATATCACACTGCAGTTTAATCGATGTGCCTTAGTATGTTAGTCAACACATTAAAATTAGTGTACTTCTTTAAAACACGATAAAAGATTATTGAAACATTGATTTAAAATGTACTTTAAAAGAACTTTTAATTCGACATTATTACAAAGTGACTTTTGATATTTGTACTTAAACATAGTCATAAAAGAGAACTCTCTTTAAGTACACTTAAGCAGCCTATTATTTCATTACTATTCTATTAAAAAAGTGCCCAGTTAAGCACACTCATTTGGCTTTTCTTCACCTGTTTTCCCACATGAGATCTGTGCCTACACATTTCCTGAGAATTCAAACACATGACATTCATAGAGGTCTGTATGTTCTCCTCCCTTTGGGTGTTGTTTATCTGTCAACATGAAAGAAAAATGGACAAAATCCAATTTTTATGCACAATCCTGATCTTATCTTGCACAATTCAGCAGTCAACATTCTTGTGAATAAAATATTAATTCTAAATAAATAATAATATTTTTTTTATCAAAATGTAATAGCTTGCTCTGCATTTAAAGTGTCTTTTCGCTCTTATTTTTCAACACCTCTCCTCCAACCACCTGGCAACATTCTGGTATGTAACACACTTTTCACAATTCAATCAATTCCTGATAAAAACGTCCCACTCTGAAGTTTTTTCTTCTTTCATTGGATCTCCTGTTTCAAATGGAAAAATATCTTATTACACTTGTATTTTGGCTAATTTATTTTATGCCACCGATTGTGTCGTACTCACAGCTCTGTTTAACACATTTTAACATGTTTAAAGGGATAGATAACCCTAAAATGAAAAGTCATCATTTACTCACCTTGTGTTCCAAACCTGTTGTTCCACACCGGTGTAAGTTTGTTTCTCCTGTTGAACACAGAAGAACATTTTTGAAGAATGTTGGTAACCACACAGTTGCTGGTAGCCATTGACTTCCATTGTTTTGTTTTGTTTTGTTTTGTTTTGTTTTGTTTTTGAAGAATGTTGGTAACTACACAGTTGCTGGTAGCCATTGACTTCCATAGTATGGAAAAAATACTATGGAAGTCAATGGCTACCAGCAACTGTGTAGTTACCAACATTCTTCAAAAACAAAACAAAACAATGGAAGTCAATGGCTACCAGCAACTGTGTGGTTACCAACATTCTTCAAAAACAAAACAAACAAACAAACAAACAAACAAAAACATTACTATGGAAGTCAATGGCTACCAGCAACTGTGTAGTTACCAACATTCTTCAAAAACAAAACAAAACAATGGAAGTCAATGGCTACCAGCAACTGTGTGGTTACCAACATTCTTCAAAAACAAAACAAACAAACAAACAAACAAACAAAAACATTACTATGGAAGTCAATGGCTACCAGCAACTGTGTAGTTACCAACATTCTTCAAAAACAAAACAAAACAATGGAAGTCAATGGCTACCAGCAACTGTGTGGTTACCAACATTCTTCAAAAACAAAACAAACAAACAAACAAACAAACAAAAACATTACTATGGAAGTCAATGGCTACCAGCAACTGTGTAGTTACCAACATTCTTCAAAAACAAAACAAAACAATGGAAGTCAATGGCTACCAGCAACTGTGTGGTTACCAACATTCTTCAAAAACAAAACAAACAAACAAACAAACAAACAAAAACATTACTATGGAAGTCAATGGCTACCAGCAACTGTGTAGTTACCAACATTCTTCAAAAACAAAACAAAACAATGGAAGTCAATGGCTACCAGCAACTGTGTGGTTACCAACATTCTTCAAAAACAAAACAAACAAACAAACAAACAAACAAAAACATTACTATGGAAGTCAATGGCTACCAGCAACTGTGTAGTTACCAACATTCTTCAAAAACAAAACAAAACAATGGAAGTCAATGGCTACCAGCAACTGTGTGGTTACCAACATTCTTCAAAAACAAAACAAACAAACAAACAAACAAACAAAAACATTACTATGGAAGTCAATGGCTACCAGCAACTGTGTAGTTACCAACATTCTTCAAAAACAAAACAAAACAATGGAAGTCAATGGCTACCAGCAACTGTGTGGTTACCAACATTCTTCAAAAACAAAACAAACAAACAAACAAACAAACAAAAACATTACTATGGAAGTCAATGGCTACCAGCAACTGTGTAGTTACCAACATTCTTCAAAAACAAAACAAAACAATGGAAGTCAATGGCTACCAGCAACTGTGTGGTTACCAACATTCTTCAAAAACAAAACAAACAAACAAACAAACAAACAAAAACATTACTATGGAAGTCAATGGCTACCAGCAACTGTGTAGTTACCAACATTCTTCAAAAACAAAACAAAACAATGGAAGTCAATGGCTACCAGCAACTGTGTGGTTACCAACATTCTTCAAAAACAAAACAAACAAACAAACAAACAAACAAAAACATTACTATGGAAGTCAATGGCTACCAGCAACTGTGTAGTTACCAACATTCTTCAAAAACAAAACAAAACAATGGAAGTCAATGGCTACCAGCAACTGTGTGGTTACCAACATTCTTCAAAAACAAAACAAACAAACAAACAAACAAACAAAAACATTACTATGGAAGTCAATGGCTACCAGCAACTGTGTAGTTACCAACATTCTTCAAAAACAAAACAAAACAATGGAAGTCAATGGCTACCAGCAACTGTGTGGTTACCAACATTCTTCAAAAACAAAACAAACAAACAAACAAACAAACAAAAACATTACTATGGAAGTCAATGGCTACCAGCAACTGTGTAGTTACCAACATTCTTCAAAAACAAAACAAAACAATGGAAGTCAATGGCTACCAGCAACTGTGTGGTTACCAACATTCTTCAAAAACAAAACAAACAAACAAACAAACAAACAAAAACATTACTATGGAAGTCAATGGCTACCAGCAACTGTGTAGTTACCAACATTCTTCAAAAACAAAACAAAACAATGGAAGTCAATGGCTACCAGCAACTGTGTGGTTACCAACATTCTTCAAAAACAAAACAAACAAACAAACAAACAAACAAAAACATTACTATGGAAGTCAATGGCTACCAGCAACTGTGTAGTTACCAACATTCTTCAAAAACAAAACAAAACAATGGAAGTCAATGGCTACCAGCAACTGTGTGGTTACCAACATTCTTCAAAAACAAAACAAACAAACAAACAAACAAACAAAAACATTACTATGGAAGTCAATGGCTACCAGCAACTGTGTAGTTACCAACATTCTTCAAAAACAAAACAAAACAATGGAAGTCAATGGCTACCAGCAACTGTGTGGTTACCAACATTCTTCAAAAACAAAACAAACAAACAAACAAACAAACAAAAACATTACTATGGAAGTCAATGGCTACCAGCAACTGTGTAGTTACCAACATTCTTCAAAAACAAAACAAAACAATGGAAGTCAATGGCTACCAGCAACTGTGTGGTTACCAACATTCTTCAAAAACAAAACAAACAAACAAACAAACAAACAAAAACATTACTATGGAAGTCAATGGCTACCAGCAACTGTGTAGTTACCAACATTCTTCAAAAACAAAACAAAACAATGGAAGTCAATGGCTACCAGCAACTGTGTGGTTACCAACATTCTTCAAAAACAAAACAAACAAACAAACAAACAAACAAAAACATTACTATGGAAGTCAATGGCTACCAGCAACTGTGTAGTTACCAACATTCTTCAAAAACAAAACAAAACAATGGAAGTCAATGGCTACCAGCAACTGTGTGGTTACCAACATTCTTCAAAAACAAAACAAACAAACAAACAAACAAACAAAAACATTACTATGGAAGTCAATGGCTACCAGCAACTGTGTAGTTACCAACATTCTTCAAAAACAAAACAAAACAATGGAAGTCAATGGCTACCAGCAACTGTGTGGTTACCAACATTCTTCAAAAACAAAACAAACAAACAAACAAACAAACAAAAACATTACTATGGAAGTCAATGGCTACCAGCAACTGTGTAGTTACCAACATTCTTCAAAAACAAAACAAAACAATGGAAGTCAATGGCTACCAGCAACTGTGTGGTTACCAACATTCTTCAAAAACAAAACAAACAAACAAACAAACAAACAAAAACATTACTATGGAAGTCAATGGCTACCAGCAACTGTGTAGTTACCAACATTCTTCAAAAACAAAACAAAACAATGGAAGTCAATGGCTACCAGCAACTGTGTGGTTACCAACATTCTTCAAAAACAAAACAAACAAACAAACAAACAAACAAAAACATTACTATGGAAGTCAATGGCTACCAGCAACTGTGTAGTTACCAACATTCTTCAAAAACAAAACAAAACAATGGAAGTCAATGGCTACCAGCAACTGTGTGGTTACCAACATTCTTCAAAAACAAAACAAACAAACAAACAAACAAACAAAAACATTACTATGGAAGTCAATGGCTACCAGCAACTGTGTAGTTACCAACATTCTTCAAAAACAAAACAAAACAATGGAAGTCAATGGCTACCAGCAACTGTGTGGTTACCAACATTCTTCAAAAACAAAACAAACAAACAAACAAACAAACAAAAACATTACTATGGAAGTCAATGGCTACCAGCAACTGTTTGGTTACCAAAATGTTTCAAAAATTGGGGAAAAATATACTATGGATATCAATGGCTACCAGCAATTATTTGGTTACCAAAATTCTTCAGAAATAGGGGAATATACTATGGAAGTCAATGGCTACCAGCAACTGTTTGCTTACAAACATTCTTTAAAATATATCTCTTTTGTGTTCAACAGATCATACAGGTTTGGAACAACAGTGTGAGTAAATGATGACAGAATTTTCATTTTTGGGTGAACTATACCTTTAAATCCATTCAGTTGAATTTTCCACATTTCCTCACAGAAAAATCCTGCCAGTTCCATCTGGACCAGTTTATGGAGTATTACCACCAGATGGTTTTGACCTTTGACATGTGTTATTGGAAATATCTGGGATCCCAGAGCTTTGGACAACATCGGTGCTCATTTGGAAAGGATGCTGGGATTGCCTCTGAACTAATCGGGCATTAGCTCAATGCTGGCACCCGACCCTTGGACATGGCTCTTGGCAAAGGGCAGGATGCCCGCTATGGAGTTGCTTGGCAAGTGCCACTGCCTGTCATGTTTGGCCCTTTATGAAAACAGAAACGGGACTTGATGATGCTGATCTTCAGATGCCGTCGTCTTTATTGTTTTAGGCGGGTCACTGCACAGGAGCGCAGAGGTGCAAACAAACAAACAAAGCTCTCGCTGTCAGGATACGTGCGCTAATGAAGAATGACTGACGTGAGCAATATTCATTAGCCGAAGAAAGAAAAGACGAAAACGCTGCATACAAGATTTCACACGAGCGGCACCCATCTCAACCCAAACGCAACTCCATCAGGTGTCCTTGTCACTAGACTGTTGCTACATGGTTGCCAGGGTCTTCTTGTTAATTACTAGGCCATTGCTTGTGTGCTCTAAGTAGCTACTACACTGTTACTAGGTGGTTGCCAGGGTGTTCTGGCTGTTGCTAGGGTGCTCTAGGTAGTTGCTAGGGTGTTCAAAGTAGTTAGTATACTGTTACTAGGTGGTTGTCAGGGTGTTCTGGCTGTTGCTAGGGTATTCTAAGTAGTTACTAACAGTTGCTAGGTGGTTGCCAGGGTCTTCTAGTTGATAACTAGGCCGTTGCTATAGGTTGTTCTTGGTAGATACTAGGCCATTGCTAGGTGGTTGCTAGGGTGTTCTGGATGTTGCTAAGGTGTTCTAAGTGGATACTTGGCCATTGCTAGGCTGTTCTGGATGTTGCTAGGGTTTTCTAAGTGGATACTTGGCCATTGCTAGGCTGT